ACTAATCTCTATATTTTCGGATTCATGAATTCATGAAGTGCCTCTGCGTTCCGATCGAATCGTATTTTCGTCGTACTTTGTCACTGGACTATTTTTGATTATTTAGGAGCCTCCCGTGTTAATTGTTATTTGAATAGTATGTACTTCGTACGTGCCTGCCAGCAAAACTTCTGATTATGGCTGAAATTGATTAGTGTTTATAATTGTGTATACCTTTGAAATTAAATTGAAGACATAGAAGCAGAAACACGCTGACTATAGAGCGTCCTCCGCTTTAAGACCCCTATGCTTTTAGTATTAGCATACAAAAACACCTATGGTGAAACGGTATCATGCTTGCCTTCCAAGCGCCTGCAAAGGTGTGAGTTAGCAAGCGGCGCGGGTTCGACTCCCGCTGGGTGTACTTTTTTGCGCTTCATTGCGCTTCAGATAATATATATCTACCAATTCTGATTACTTGTAACTCTTTTCCAAGCTGGAGCTAAGCAAATCGAAGAATAAGACCTAGCGTGCGATATTCAAACTCACTAGTAAGTAGATCATGGTCTTTTAATAGTACCATCCTCAAGTCATTCTCTAAAGTCATATGCAAAGCTGTGCTCTTAGAAGCTCCACTGCCTCTCCCTCCCCCTAATAACATTCGTATAAAGCTTACCTCAAAAATAGCTAAGATAGATTCATCCCCATTTGGTGTGCTAGATGATGTTCCTTGTTCCTTCAAGTTGGTACCTTGTCGACTCTCCCTGTAATTGTTTCGCATGTCCTTTAAATGGCACTCTTTATTGGAGTATTCTAAATTAGTATGCCATATTCAATATTAATTATTATATCTGGAATCTTCTCTCAAGTATCCCAGCGGTTATAAACTGTTTGAACTTTTACAAACTATCCACATATTTATTGCTTCCGGTCATTTGACTACTAGTGTATACTCAACGCTGCCGAGCTATTGTTCTATTCTACTAAGTTCTCCTTCGTTCAGATATAAAATATGGTAAAAGCTACATAGATGGTGGGTTTCAGGATTCGGCCAATTTCTCGTAATCAAGACGTAACCTTAGCACGATAAAGATTTTCATGCCAGAAGCAGACTTTCCGATTCACGTTCAATGAGTTATATGAAGTAGCCTTTGGCAATGACAAGTAGCACTAGTAAAGTAAAATAATAATAACACCCGTTATACCCAATTCTTATTTCCGTGATGAGAAATGAATCCTCCAGTGTCCTCCAACGTCAAGCCATCAATAACGTTCAATTGTGCTCTGACGGATTCCTCTGGAGTTATCGGCCCATTAAAGGTCGGCACACTTTTCCTAATCGAAGCAGTCATTGCCTGAAGCATAGCAATCGCTTGAGGAGAAACTATAGAAATTAAAGACGCATTAGTCCAAGAGAAACATCACAGAAAATCACGATTCACCGGGTCTCTCAGCGGTATCGACTAAGCCAGGGCTCAAGGCAAGGAATATAATTCCCTCGGGTTTGAACTGGATAGCATACTTGGTGACTGTCATATTTAAAGCTGCCTTGCTTATCCCGTACGGTGCTGCCTGATATAAACCAGAGCCCCATATGGCATCTGGATCAGCAACTCCAGTGCTAATGGTGATGACCTTCTTAGTCTGTCCGGCCTTCACCAGATCGAGAAAGGCATTGATACTGTGAATCACTCCAATGACATTGACTTCGAAAGATTCGAGGAGGTCCTTTCGGAGTACGTCATCATCTTTACTTTAGAAATAAGTTCAGAATGTGTCATCATACGTTCAAACAGCTTTAGGAACTTACTAATCAGCTAAGCCCAATCCCCCATGCTTCCTGTTGACAAAGGCGGCATTGTTGACTAAAACATCTAATGTTCCTTCGGTATACTTGGATACTTCAGCGGCCGCCGCCTATAATGATAGTAAGAAAAGTGTGTCTTCAAAGGGGTAAATATACTATACCTTCATCTGCGCATAATTGGTGACATCAGCTTCCAGAATTTGAATGTTCTTGTTCTTGGATGCAAGCTCGATAAGGTTTGTTGAAGTCGACTTGTTTCGTACAATGGCGAAGACTTGGTTCGTAGTAACCGCAGACTACAGCAACATTAGTATCGAATCAGATAAATAAATGCGAGACTTACCAGTTGTCGGACAAATTCAAGCTAAATATAGGTCAATACTTAGAATACAGATAAACGCGATAAAAGACTTACCCCGATGCCTTTCGATGTACCTGTGATAACGTATGATTTGGCCATGATGCGAAGAAACTACTGAGATCGATAGGGACTTTTCAGGTTGGTTTATTACAGCTCGATATCGGTCCTTTTAATATCTCGAGGAAGCGAACTCGGCAAGTAGGTATATTTGCTGCATAATCGCTAGTAAGCAAACGACAATGGGCACCTGTGGGGCACTGAGAAGCCAGTCCACATAGCCAACTCTTAGAAATAACCTGATCCGTATTTCAAAGACGTCGAGAGGCTTGTATTTAACAAGAATACCATCTATGGCTCCGTGGACTTGTGCCTCACTTCGGACACCACAGGTGGCGCATTGTGGACTTTTGCTTGCACAGTTTCTGTGCATCTGTTGGTATATATATATTTATTAATCTAAGCTATTACGAAGTGTAGTAAAAGCAACTACGACGCACCGAATTACACCAGAAAATCAACGCCTGATTCGTAGTTACACTGTTACCAGTAACCAGACGACGAATTCTTCAAGAGCTCAGGTTAATCTTTCCCCATATAGAAGCGATTTCGGAAAATGAGCATGGACTCAGTCGTCTTGCAGTCGTCGGTCAACTGATTCGCGGCTTCGCGCCAAGCCATTACTGAAATTCATATCTGGTAAGTAAGCAGGACATGCATTAACAATGGGTCAATTAAAAATCGAACAGAAAGTCACGAAAGTATAAATTTCTTTAATCGGTAGGACATTAGACGGGATAAGGCCGCCCACTCACCGAATTGATACCGCAACTATTGGGTGGAATTCAAGGACGTTTCAAGAACTGCAGTGATTGGAAGACGCGAAATAAACCCCCAGTTGTCCTTTACGTTTTAATCAGGATGGCCTTATGTTGCCTCGGAGGTCATACAAAAGAAGACCTGACCGACAAAAGGATATCTCAGAGAATTCCGCAGCAAGACGGAGAATGGTATTTTCAAGAATCCTGTAAGACGAGAGCAGAGAGCAGGAGGTAAACAGGTGTGCAGAAAGTGCTCAAAGGTCGCGTTTCTGCTGACATAAGGGGCGGACCTCCAAAGTGCTTCATCCTCCTGCCACCAAACCATCATGCCTCCTATTCGTTCTGCTGCTTTCGAACGCCTACGCAAACCATACGAGGTGAATATATTTACATATTTGAAGGAAACGGCGCTCAATTCGATCTCCCTCGCAGCGACCGACATCAACATCCAGCGGACGCGGCGATGGCAAATGGCTACACGACCGCGCAGCCGGTGTTGCAGACCCCGGCGCACCTTCAAGTCGATTAGTTGTCACCAACTTGCACTGGGAAGTAACAGAACAAGATCTCGCCGTGCGTACTTTGTCTGGCTTTCTAAGCAACTCGGCCCGCTTAAATCGCCATCTCCTAGAACATCTTTGGTACAATAGGGACTTTGGCAAGCAAGCCGAGTATCAGGGTACGAAATAACCTTCGGGGCGACACAGACGCATCCGTTTACGCAATTCCTTCCATCTATTTTCCCCTTGGTGTTACTTTTTGGCGTGAAATTAGTTTGACCGCAGCGGCCGTTCGACCGGTGTCGCCTATATCGAATACACGACCGGAGCTGAAGCTACAAGGGCAAAAAACCAACTAGATGGCAAAATCGCGAAGTGTATGTGTGGTTATGTGGTTGTTATCCGTGCAGATTGGCTTATGACTTTAATAGCGCAAGCCATGGCTATAGCCTACGCCCCGGCCCGAATCCCACCTTCCATCAAAGCCGCCGCAAGAGGAAGCGCTCCTGACTCGCTTTTAAATAGAGTATCGAAACAACCATTGCTTTCTAGGCTCTCTGGTGGAGACGAATTTTCAAAAGTTCCTACTGGGCCGTACGTCATTTCTTCTTGTTTACT